TCATGTGTGTGTGTGTGTCATGTGTGTGTGTGTGTGTGTGTGTCACGTGTGTGTGTGTGTGTGTGTGTGTCTCATGTGTGTCACGAGTGTCATGTGTGTCATGTGTGCGATGTGTGTCATGTATGTGTGTCATGTGTGTGTGTTTGTGTGTGTCATGTGTGTGTGTCATGTGTGTGTGTGTGTCATGTGGGTGTCATGTGTGTGTGTCATGTGTGTGTGAGTGTCATGTGTGTGTGTGTCATGTGTGTGTGTGTGTCATGTGTGTGTCTCATGTGTGTGTCTGTCATGTGTGTCATGTGTGTGTGTTTGAGTGTCTGTCGTGTGTGTGTCATGTGTGTGTGTGTGTCATGTGTGTGTGGCTCATGTGTGTGTGTCATGTGTGTGTGGCTCATGTGTGTGTGTGTGTGTGTGTGTCATGTGTGTCACGAGTGTCATGTGTGTCATGTGTGCCATGTGTGTCATGTATGTGTGTCATGTGTGTGTGTGTGTGTCATCTGTGTGTGTGTGTGTCATGTGTGTGTGTCATGTGTGTTTGTGTCTGTCGTGTGTGTGTGTGTGTGTGAGTGTGTCTGTCATGTGTGTTTGTCATGTGTGTTTGTGTCTGTCGTGTGTGTGTGTGTGTGTGAGTGTGTCTGTCATGTGTGTGTGTATCTGTCGTGTGTGTGTGTGTGTGTGTGTGTGTGTGTGTGTGTGTGTGTGTGTGTGTGTGTGTGTGTGTGAGTGTCTGTCTGTTTCTGAAGTAAAGTAGAAAGCGCTTACGCAAAAAGATTATGAAGAACCATATTTAAAGAGAAGGATTAAAATAATCATTGAATAGTTTTAATTCGGCCATCCCAACTTTAACATTTCACAATAATTCCAATTAGGGAACAAAATTTCATTAGAAAATGAAATAATTAACAAATTACATTGAGGGCATTCGAAAAATAATTTATAAGGTACATCAAACGCTCAAACACAACGCAAACGTTTAATGTGATTGTGTTTGACCTTTGTAAGATGTATTGCGAAGGAGATGCCGTTATGATCAGAAGAAGTTCGCCAGTCATCCACCAGATCGAGAAGCTCAGGCGATGCAGTCGTGATGTCCACAAAGCTGGTGTACCTCTGTGCGCCCCTTACTACGTCAAAGGTGGAAATATCCCCCCCCTGTTCAGTATGTCTAAGTCGAGGTCTTCTAGGGTACCACACAGCTCTTCGCCGCGGCTATCCGTGACGGGGCTACCCCACCACATGATTTTGGCGTTGCAGTCTCCTGCTACTAACCATTTTGTGGCTCCCAACTCTGTTCGGATCTTGCGCAGGTGTGCCAGATGAGGGTCCATAGGCTGGTCGGGCTCGAAGTAGAGCGAAACCAGGGTAATCTCCCATGCACTGGTTCGGATCCCCACCACTGCGATGTTGTTCGTGGTGAGTTTCGGGTATTGTGTGATGTGAAGGTCAGAATTGAAGACAATTATTGCTGCCTTAACAGTACCCTCCCCGTTGTCGGTGCATTGGAAGACCCTTATACCACTCCGACCCGATACCCTACTCTCTCTACCGGCGTATGGTTCCTGCATTAACGCCACCTGAACTCCGCCCTTTTCGGCTTCAAGCAGGAGCTCGGTAAGTCTGAGTTTCTTACGCTGGAGGTTCGCTTGCAGAAATTTAATTGCCACTGTGTCGACCGGCACAACCTTAGCAATACGCCACTGCCGAGCGGGCCAATTCGTCCCACTTCCGTCTAACTGGGCAGTCACTGCTGAATGTATTGTGGTCTCGATTCTCAAACTTCGCCTTGAGACAGTTTCTGCATGAGGGCGGGGTTGCCTCAGCCCATTCGGTACATTTCGTCTTAAGATGTGGACCTCCACAGTGACTGCATACGTCTGTCTTTTCCGTACAGATTTTTTTTTTTGCTGTGACCATAGCCGAGACAACGAGAACATTGAATCAGTGGGGACTGATCCTCCGCTCTGACCCTTTGGAGGTCTATGTGGACGCTGCCCATACCTGTGATCCGATTCCAGAGAATGGGCGAGGTGCTCAGGACCACGTTTTCCATTTGCGCGTTCCGGGTCGGTTTCCTATACTTGACAAGGATCCGGTCGTCTTCGCTATTGAGGCCGTCAAAGATACTCTTGTTTTGGTTCTTCAGGGCTTTGACTATATCCTCATCGGTGTTCACCTTTAAGACGCCTCTGAGGATCACGAGTGGGTCTCTGTTCTTAACATCCTCAACAACGAAGCCGGTTCCTTTTTTCAGTTAGCCGTTCCTTAGCCTTCTTTCTTTCTTCTGTGGAGTTGAACCCCATGACGATCTTTCTATCACGTGCTTTCCTTACTCTCTCAACTTTTACCCATCCTTCTTTCGCATCGATTGTCTGTCGTACCTTATCTAGAACCTCGTCACTAGTCTAAGTTTAATTTTTCGACGTAACAAACATCGAGTGAATTGCGCCCTGTACCTGTTGTGGCGATTTCGATGCCACCACATTCGCGTAGGTCTTTTGCTCTATTGTATTCTGGCACTTCGCTGGCGAACAGCAACTGGTTGCTCTTGGAGGTCTGTCAATTTCCGGGAGTTCTCCATCAAGAGTCGAGTGTGCTCATCGAGCTTGGCACTAATGCCAGACTCCTGGTCCACCGCAGATGCAGAGCCGGTGTCCTCTGTCAACGACCTTACAACCCCGGCGTCCCCGGGTCCCCCACAGGCACACTCAGCCTCCGATGTTGTCATCATTTTTATAATTATTTTTATAATAATTTCTCTGAGTTTATCGAAGGAAGCCGACATGGTGTTTTTGTATTCGGTTTTAAGATTTCTTGATTGATCAAGCGCTGTTTTCGCTTCTCCGATGATTATGTCGGCTTCTTTCATTATGTCACTATAGATAATAGCCTTAGTATTTTTTTTTTTTTTTTTTTTCCGGTCCTTTTCCTACCTCTTTTTTTTTTTTTTTTTTTTTTTTTTTTTTTTTTTTTTTTTTTTAAATTACTGGCGGCATTAACACTTCCTTAAGGCTTCGTCGAGCCGGCATATTCATCTTTGAAGGCGTCTTAGGTTAGGTGAGCTCACTCCCTCCGCCGATTTAGTTGGTGTTATAATAATGTTTCTTAAAATTTTAAATTGGTCGATTCTAAAAGGAGTAAGATAAAAAATTTATACTAGTCTATTCCTGCAAACACCGATTGTAAAAGAAAATTCAGTAAAAAACTTTTCAGAAGCAAAATAAAATTAATTTAAATCCCCAAGGTCACTAAAATCTATATAGTAAATGAAAAAAAGGGAAAGTGGGGGGGCCTTTTTTTCGATTTCCCGGAGTATATCGGGGAAATAAACCATGGGGATGTATATAAGACGTAATTACAATGTATTTAAAACAATTTTAGACGAAATTTAGACAAAAATATTTTTTTAACGTAATTATAATATATAAATGAAATTTTTTAATTGAATTCTTAATTATACTTAGACTATAGAAATAGGAAGATATACAACTAAAACTACTTAATTTAGTAACAACAATGCAATTATAAGCAAATTGAAAGACATTTCTAAAAATTTTATATATGCAATGGTTTCAGGAAGTTAGGTTTCGGAAACCTAACTTCCTGAAACCTAACTTCCCGAAACCTAACTTACGGAAACCTAACTTTTGGAAACCTAACTTCCCGAAACCTAACTTCCTGAAACCTAACTTCCCGAAACCTAACTTCCCGAAACCTAATTTTCCGAAACCTAACTTTCGGAAACCTAACTTCCCGAAACCTAACTTTCTTAAACCTAACTTTCCGAAACCTAACTTTCGGAAACCTAACTTCCCGAAAACTAACTTTCGGAAACCTAACTTCCCGAAACCTAACTTTCTTAAACCTAACTTTCCGAAACCTAACTTTCTGAAACCTAACTTCCCGAAACCTAACTTTCTTAAACCTAACTTTCCGAAACCTAACTTACGGAAACCTAACTTTCGGATATAACTTTACGAAACCTAACTTCCGGAAACCTAACTTCCCGAAACCTAACTTTCGGAAACCTAACTTACGGAAACTTTACTTCCCGAAACCTAACTTCCTGAAACTTAACTTCCCGAAACCTAACATTCGGAAACCTCACTTACGAAAACCTAACTCTCCGAAACCTAACTTACCGAAACCTAACTTCCCGAAACCTAACTTCCCGAAACCTAACTTTCGGAAACCTAACTTACGGAAACTTTACTTCCCGAAACCTAACATTCGGAAACCTAACTTACGAAAACCTTAAAGTTAGGTTTCGGGAAGTTAGGTTTCGGGAAGTTAGGTTAGGTTAGGTTAGGTTAGGTTAGGTTAGGTTAGGTTAGGTTAGGTTAGGTTAGGTTAGGTTAGGTTAGGTTAGGTTAGGTTAGGTTAGGTTAGGTTAGGTTAGGTTAGGTTAGGTTAGGTTAGGTTAGGTTAGGTTAGGTTAGGTTTTTTTTTTTTTTAGAGAGTTATTAGTTGTTTGTGTAACTCGCGGTGCTAATGGGTTACACCACGAGGCACAACATGTTTAGGTTTGCGGCTGTGTTATGACGTTTGTTCCATTGAACTCTTTTAAACAATTGACAATGCCAGTCAAGAGCTCAACAAACGTTCCAATTGTGGACTCGTTGGTGATGATTTGGGAGAGATCAAAATGATCTATATCAAAATAGTTGCATGTGAGTGCATGTTTTGAGCGTAGAGATGAAAAGCGAGGGCATTCTGCAAAGAGATGCCTCCAGCTTTGTAGCGTGGATCCATCGCAAGGACAGGAGTCCTCGCCGACTATATTGAACCTGTGGAGGTATTCCTTGTGAAAGCCATGATTGGATAGAAATTGAGTAACTGCAAAGACAGGTTTTATGGAATGAAGAAATTCTAGAAGGGAAGAGTAAGAAGGAAGAAGGGATTTGGTGTATAGACAATGGGAGGGATTTTCGTACAATTCTTGAGATGCGGAAGAGCATTTGAGTTTATTGAGGTGTTTAATATGGCTGATAGGCACAGCGTAGTAATCAGGAGAGCGGTGGAGATTGGCTGCCGCTTTAGCTGCAGCATCCGCCTGTTCATTTCCATCGAGTCCTACATGAGCTTTAACCCAGGCGAACTCAACGGAAAGTCCAGATGATCGGACTGAGTGTATGCTCTTATGGATGCTGACAGCAAAAGAGTTGTGACTATTGCGATTGGATAATTCTGTAAGCCCAGACATACTATCAGAAAGAACTATGGTTTTTGAAAGTTTTTTAACTAAAATGAATTTGCAGGCCTCCTCAATAGCAAGTAACTCCGCCTGGAAGACTGAACAACAATCATGAAGCTTGAGCTTTCTTACCGCAGGGTTAGGTTAGGTTAGGTTAGGTTAGGTTAGGTTAGGTTAGGTTAGGTTAGGTTAGGTTAGGTTAGGTTAGGTTAGGTTAGGTTAGGTTTTTTTTTAGAGAGTTATTAGTTGTTTGTGTAACTCGCGGTGCTAATGGGTTACACCACGAGGCACAACATGTTTAGGTTTGCGGCTGTGTTATGACGTTTGTTCCATTGAACTCTTTTAAACAATTGACAATGCCAGTCAAGAGCTCAACAAACGTTCCAATTGTGGACTCGTTGGTGATGATTTGGGAGAGATCAAAATGATCTATATCAAAATAGTTGCATGTGAGTGCATGTTTTGAGCGTAGAGATGAAAAGCGAGGGCATTCTGCAAAGAGATGCCTCCAGCTTTGTAGCGTGGATCCATCGCAAGGACAGGAGTCCTCGCCGACTATATTGAACCTGTGGAGGTATTCCTTGTGAAAGCCATGATTGGATAGAAATTGAGTAACTGCAAAGACAGGTTTTATGGAATGAAGAAATTCTAGAAGGAAGAGTAAGAAGGAAGAAGGGATTTGGTGTATAGACAATGGGAGGGATTTTCGTACAATTCTTGAGATGCGGAAGAGCATTTGAGTTTTATTGAGGTGTTTAATATGGCTGATAGGCACAGCGTAGTAATCAGGAGAGCGGTGGAGATTGGCTGCCGCTTTAGCTGCAGCATCCGCCTGTTCATTTCCATCGAGTCCTACATGAGCTTTAACCCAGGCGAACTCAACGGAAAGTCCAGATGATCGGACTGAGTGTATGCTCTTATGGATGCTGACAGCAAAAGAGTTGTGACTATTGCGATTGGATAATTCTGTAAGCCCAGACATACTATCAGAAAGAACTATGGTTTTTGAAAGTTTTTTAACTAAAATGAATTTGCAGGCCTCCTCAATAGCAAGTAACTCCGCCTGGAAGACTGAACAACAATCATGAAGCTTGAGCTTTCTTACCGCAGTCCGCCTCCCAGATGGATCGAATACTACGAAGGCTGCTCCTACTTTATCGGCATGCTTACTACCATCTGTGTAAATTTTCCAGGAATCACAATGCCCTACCATATCTGAAAGTTCGGATGCAGATGATATTTCCAGAAATTTGATTCCGATTCTCTCAGAAGGGTGTAAAAGAGTTGTAGGAGGGCAGAGCTTCTCGACTGGGACGTCATCAGGCAAGTGCGAGGTGACGCCCAGGAGTTTAGACCTTTCTGTATCGGATATGGATTCTACTTTGGATGGAAGGGGTGTAAGTTGGGCAAGAGAAATTGAGGCAACAGTACTTATGGTCCTGAAGCCTTGTATCATTTTGATGGCAAAAAGCCGTTGTAAAGAGAGTAATCGCTGGACAATATATTGATATTTGAGAGCGCGCGACCATATAGCCGCTCCATAACACACGATAGGCTCTATCACCATAGAGTATATTAAGCGCACATTTTCAGGATGTATGCCCCAAGTAGGTCGGATAAATAAGCAAAGCCTGTGATATAGCTTTTGTACTTTGTCGATAATATAGTCTACATGCTTAGTGAATGAAAGTCGATTGTCGATGAGTATTCCCAGATATTTAATATGGTCAACGAATAGAAGCTGTTGTTGCCTCATATGAATTTGGCAGCTTGTGGCGCGGGTTGTAAAGGCAATAGCTTGAGTTTTGTCGGGACCTAATTCTAGCTTAACTCTCTCGCCCCAGCCGTGAATTCGTTCCAGGGCCAAGTTGACATTTTGCTCGAGTGAGTTGACACATTTATTATGTGCTATAAGTAGCACATCATCGGCATAAGCTTGTAGCCTACATCCATCCGGCATTGGCATAAATAAGAGTTCATCCAGGACAAGATTCCACAAAGTGGGCCCGATTACAGACCCTTGGATGCAACCTCTAGTCATGAATTTTCTGACCCTAGTGTCAGCGAAGTTGATTTGAATTTCGCGGTCTTCGATATAGCTCAGAAGGAGCCGATACAGGTTACTGGGGCAATTACTGTCTCTTAGCCTTTTGAAGATCGCCGGCCACCAGGCGCGGTCGAAGGCGGATTTGATGTCTAGAGAGACAGCAATCACCTGTTCACCTGCGGACTTAGCAGAGTTAACAAGTTCAAGTGCGTTGTTTATAGCCATTACTGTAGAGATTTGAGTTTTGAAGCCATACTGGTTTGAGGAGGAGGTGTTATTTTTCTGCATGTGATATGTGAGCCTATTATTAATTAAACGTTCGAGGAGCTTAGCAAACACATTGAGGAGGCCGATCGGTCGAAACTAGAGAGAGAGCTGTATTCAGGTTTTCCAGGTTTCGGTATTATTTTTGCGGTTGCAACTTTCCAACAATTTGGAAAATGTTCGAGTCGGAGGCAACAATTGAGAATTCCGGAGATCTCCTGCGGAA